GACAATCCAAAACAAGATAAACCAAACAAAACCAGACAAACTAGGACGAAACAAACCAAAACAAAAGACAAGGAAAAACAAGACCAGACAAAACAAAACAAAAGAAAAAACACAAAACAAATAAAAACAAAAGTAAAACACACAACAAGACAAAAAAATGAGTGTGAGCCTCTGTGCTAAAAGAACACATTTGTTCAAGTCTAAGACATGGGAAAATAATCCCTTCCTTCCAGAAAGCCAATAACCTTTCTTTAAAAACACAAGCTGACCTCATCGGTGATACACTGTAGAGACTATGGATTCAAAAGCCTCACTGAGCATTTTCTACCCCTCATCCTCCATTGTATCCAGCACTTCTGATATATTCTAGTTCAATGTAGATATAACATATCGCAGTGAGAGCTCAGTGCTTGGAGCAGCATCTTGTTACGTCTGGGTCATTAGCATTCTCATCAGCGATACTCAGTACGGTCCACTACCGGCGTTGCTATTACAGAGATGCACATCACAAAAGAATGCATAATTACTTAATTAATGAACATAAGAGTGGCGCTTTTCAAAACAACCAGCATGTCTCGACCACAAAGCCTGGGGGGAAAAAAGGAACATTGGGTTTTAAAACATGGAAATGAACTGTTATGATCATTAACCCTGTGGTGGAAATCTTTCAAATCCACAAGCGATATGCAAGCCGTGGCCAGTTACAATAGATCATTTAGACTGGTACACAACAGCTCATTTAGAGGCCATGTGTCTGTCTATCTCGCCGACATGAAACAGAAGCACTTTGCCTCTCCCTCCGCTGCCAGACTAATCACTGTCAGGGCATGAAACGCCTCACTAACACTGTATAATCCAATTACTCTGAGGCTGTGTGGCTCCCACTAAATCTAAACAAGCTGTCAAAGTGGAAAGTTTGTAATTTCCTTTCTTTTTCCCCCCTTTCACGCTCTTGTTCCCCTCACCCTCTTACCCATCATTCCTGGGCTCAAGACCGTGAGGCTTAGGAGGAGGAACAGTAATACAACGCAAAAAGGGAGATTACAACGAGCGCTATCATCTTAACTACGGGATACAAAGTCTTGCAGCAGGACTTGGAACTGGGTAAGAAATAAGTAACTTAACTTTATTTAAAAAATTATATATATATATATATACCAATAATTAATAATTAAGATAATAAGATCAAATAAGATAAAATAATTAAGATCAAACTCAAAGATCTCTTCAATATAAATACTAATATCTACTGTGACTAAGAAGATTACTTTAAGAAAACATTCATCAAAACATACCAATAATTAATACTTCAAATATATCCAGGATTGGTCAAATAAATCGTAAATTAAAATCAAATATCTATTCTATATGAATACCAAAATCTACGGGGATGAAAGAAACAGTAAGAACACATTATCAAAACCAAACCTATAACTACCACTGCCAGTTTTGTCCCTTTTTCTGTGGTATTTATAGGGATAAAATTATGCAGGACAAATTCAGGATTGGTCTGTCAGTGGCAAAATTTCAGTCAACAGCCACTCCAAAAAGTCAATAACTATTTACTCTTAGTTTACAAGCTCAATATGGATTCTAACACTCTCAGACTTTTGCTCTCCTGTCTTCAGAAATGGCCGAGCCACAGCTCAAAGAGCCAGGAACTGAAAGAAATAAAGATTATAACATGTCTCTCAGGTCCATCTGTCCATGGCCTTCGTGTCTTCAGTGTAATGGAAAGGTCAAAGTGATTCCTGTCTCCCACAGGAACAGAGAAAACTTGGGAACAGAAGTTCGGTATTAAGAGACAGGGGTCTCATCGACACCTAAGAGAACAAGAGGTTATCGTGAAGGTAACCCAAAAAAATGACACCAAGAACATCAGGTGCATCAGTGCATGAGAACAGGACCATCATTCTCACTTGAGACTGAAGTTTACGTAAGTCACACCTGATAACACAATCAGCACCTGATACCAGAACTCAAGAGTGTCACTGTATGAGAAAAAAAAGAGTGACAGAAAAAATAGAGAAATGAAAGGCCAGAAATAGAAAAGCAAAAGGAAAGAAAAATAGATAAAGATAGAAGAGAAGAGAAGAGAAGAGAAGAGAAGAGAAAAAAGAAATGTGACTGCAGTCTATGTGTCATCACTCTCACACAATCTTCATTCTAAAGAGAAAACAGAAAGGAAGTTGCTTTTTTGAGTGCCTTTAGAAGATGCTAGGGGTGTGCGATACTGACAAAAAAATGATATCTCGATATTTTATGGGATTTTATCGATAACGATAATTAGACGATATTTTGCTGAAGAAAGAATAGAAAGAAAAAGCCGAAATTTGAAATTAAAACCGCCAGCAGGCGGCAGCAAATCACTGTTAATAAGTGAGTCATTGCGATTGAACCATATATATCGCACACCCCTAGAAGATGCTGTGCATTTTTATGATGGTTCAGATTTGGGGCTCTAGTACTTGATTTCAGGGGGAAGCGTCTGTGCTTGAGAATGTGAACTAGTCTGAAATGACAAAATGCTGTCGCAGTCAGGAGAAGGGAAGAAGAGATGAGATCAAGAGGAGAGCGAAAACACAATTGATTAGGAAAACCTCAAATAAACAAAATAATCTGTTGTTAGCTAGAGTGTGAGGTGCTTGTGCTAATGAATGCCGAAAAAAGAGGCAGTACATGTGCACACAGTCAAACCCCTCATCACACTGCAGTTAAATGCATATTTTGACTTCTGTAGTCACCTCGCGGAAAGATGCATCTCGTTACTTAGGGTCTGCAAAGAGCTCAGCGGGGCCTTAGCAACAGTTGGCAGGGCCAAGCTTGTTCTTTCGTTACCACTCTCTACAGACTGCTTTGAAAGGAGTAGTTTAAAAAAAGACAGGAGGAAAGTACAAGGTAACAGTTTGACTCTTCACCCTGTTTGATGGAGTGATGACCCATTTACTCATTTCCCAGCTACACATCCACTCCCATCTCTCTTTCTCTCCCCTCATTCTCCTGATTCCTGTGTCTATGACTGGATCCTCTCTAGCATGCAGCTGATAAACAATGCTTTGAAAGAGCGCACATGGAATGAGAATCAGGGAGAGAGAATGTAAAGAGATGGAATTCTTTAAGGGAAGAAAAACAGTGAATACAGAGAATAATATGGACATGATAAGGTTATGAGGTCTCATTTTTTTACAATGTCTTTGAATCTGAATTTTCAATTAGTTTGACCATCTGTACCTACAACGGTTTTAAAATTGCTTGTGAAAATAATTCTAGATAGATGCGAGTCGACATTGTATAACACACCAAAAGAACTATTCTCCATTTATGGTTAATATTAAGAGGGAAAACAAGATATGATGTGAGGTTGTAACATTGATCTTGGGAATCTAGTGAATCATGAATCTAAATTGCCACTTGAATCAAACAAGACTGGCTTAACTCTGAAAACGAATTGTTCAATTGCTAAAAACAAAACAAAACACAACAAAGCACCAAACAAAGCAAAGCACAAAACAAACCAAACATGAATCTAAATTGCCACTTGAATCAAAGAAGACTGGCCTAACTCTGAAAACGAATTTCTCAATTGCTAAAAACAAAACAAAACACAACAAAGCACCAAACAAAGCAAAGCACACAAAACAAAACACAAAACAAAAAATAAGTGTAAACATACAAATCACATGAGATAAAAACCTGCAGCAGGATTTCCAGCAGGTGCTTTTCAAACACACAAACAGACACTCAATGTTGGACCTCTTGAGAGACTCTCAAAGGTTACATGAACAGCTGGCAATCTCACCTGCCTCAAAACACACACTAAAAGATCAACATTTTACCATTAACATACTCCAATTAAACATGACACTTGGGATGAAATACCGAACTTTTACAGTCTTAACAGAAGAGTTACAAGAAACAGCTAATAACGTTCTGTTTATAAGTTACCTGTAAATAACAGTTAATAGCATGTTTCTGCTTTGAATAACAGCCTGAGAGACTGAAAGTCACAGCACTGGGTTGTTGCCAAGGAGTTGCTATGACTTATATGTTGAAGAAAGTGCTTCCAATTGTTTTTAATACATTGCTATGTGGTGGCTAGGGTATTGCTAGGTGGTCAAAATAGCCTCTAGCAAAATCCACGTTTACATATTGTATATATTTCACTGCAATCTTTTAGATTCCAAATATATCATCCAATTTGCTGGATCTGCTTTACTGAATGACTCTTCAGGGACTGACCTGTAGGACGGTCTGGATCTTGGCATAGACATCAGCCTGCTCATAGAGTTTGATCCCTTCCTGTGCTCCATTGGGAGAGACGATAATCTGCTGTAGGTGACTGAGAACCACACTGTGAGCCTGGGCCACTGCATTCAACTTATCAAACAACAGCTCAAGCAGTTCCAGCACCAACCTGAAGAGGGTGATAGAGAGAGAATTTTTTTTTTTAAATGGGTATAAAATAATAAAACATTAGGACTATCAATAGAATAAAAAAATCAAAATCAATTTCTTGATTTCTAACCAGTTTTCAGATGCACAATGAAATGGTAACGGTATCAAATGTGTTAAAATATTTCATTAATCATATTATTAGAATTAGGGTTCATTCAAATTTTACAGCCCTAAAATATACATTTTGCTAACCTTTTATGTTTGTCTGTTTGTTTGCAGAACCCCCAGCACCCCCTTGTAGCCCCTGGGGGTCCTTGGACCCCAGTTTGAAAACTCCTAATCTAGAAGCTTTCCACGAAAAAGCCACCATTGCAGTCAGTCTGGCTGTCAGAAATCCCTCTACATCACCAAAAGCGAGCCAAAAGTGGTCCATTCTCTGTTACTAATGAACATGACAGCAGCAAAGTGCTGACAGAATCTCCCTGTTGAGCAGCGGCAGCTGTTCACCAACAACAATTAGCAGCATCTGTCAAACTCTCTGGGTCCTCTAGGAGGACACACATCTGTCTGACTTTTGTGGAGCTTACTCATTCGTCCCAGTAAAATGAGGCAGAAGAAAACACTGGTCGGTGGAATGAAGAGGTTGGAGGTGACAGCATGATGTAGGGTATTAAGATTGCTGGGAGGTGGACGGCAGGAAGATGATGGATGTTCACGTGAGAGACGGTGCATGATGACACATGTTAAACCTGATTTACAGAGGACAGGACATGACCCTTGACTCAACATGTAAACACATATTATACAGGACAACACTTCTTCATACAAGCATTGCAGAAAGCCAACCCAAAGCACACTATCTACTTACACGCATCTGAACCAAGAGGTCAAGGTTTGTTGGTTGATGTCGTAACTGGATGGATGGAATGAATGAATGAATGAATGAACGAATGAATGAATGCTCTCGTACATGATTAGAAATACACACACATATACACTTATATAGGATTATAAACTGTCATTGGTCCAATGTAATAAATATCTTCTGATTGACTCAGATTGTGTCACTTGGCAAAAATTGCTTGTCACTACAATCTATGTCACATCACGCCTGGTTAGGACAACATGTAAGACATACTTTTCACTGTGAACTGTAAAGCAGCAGTGACTTCATTTTTCTGTTGAGGTTTCCATAGAAACGGAGCCCAACCTCAACTTTCACGTTAGCACAGACACACAAGTAAACACTGAAATTGCTCTATGGTTAAAATGGGACCTTATTTTCACTCAGGTCATTTGAGCCTTTTCATGTACAAAAAACCCTGGCAAAGATGGTTTACCTTACAGGAAACAGATTTATGAACTGCCATATTAATTCAGCAGTTATTTATCAAGGTAATTACATTTAATGATACATTAGTAAATTCAGAAGAAACACACACATATATACCACACATATATAACCATTTCTCAAAAGAATTGCGAATAATAGAAATTTTTCTTATATTACTAAAGTTTCCATGTCATAGCTTTCAAAGAAAAGCCCCCGTTTATTTCATTAAAAGCACAAAATGAAGAAGTCAGTGGATATTCTCTCACACACTAGAAGCTCACATCCGGAAAAAAAAAAGAGCGGAGAGCAAACATTAAAACCCAGAGAATGGCTGTGGAAAAATAAGCGATTGAGAGTTCATTTTAGCCTTAGGTAAAGAGCGTTTCTTTAACAGCCTTCATTATCTGTCTTTTCTTTCCTTGCTTTTGTTTTTCTCTGTTAGAGCCGATGCTTAAGCAGACACTGGCTGCCGCTCGCTTTTATGGATTACACCATTTCTGGAAATGAGGGAGGTATGAATGCCATATCCAGCAAGCCATCATCGGGTAAAGTGAGAGAGCGAGAGAGAGCGCAATAAAGAAGGAAAACAACGGAAACCAATCACACTTCAGTACAAATGCCTTCCAAAGTGCTTCCCTTAAAAACAAAATTAGTGCAAGAGGGAGAACTGCTTCTAAAGTGACTGTCATTGGCAGTTTTTATTTCCTACATCATTTAAGGACAACATTAAATCAAAACTGATCCCATTTACTTCTAAATGATTCTCTCCCTGTGCATGATTTGTCAGTGCATGTTAATGTAAATAAATTTGTTTTAATAATCTTCAAGAGACAGCTGATCATAATAATAATCAATCAAGCGCCAACTGATAAAATCCAGTCTCGCCTTTCGTTATATAGCTGCATTAGGAAGTATATCACGTTAAAAGAATTGCAAAGTAAAAACTATGGATGCTTCAAGCGATTGGAAACTGAGCAACTATTCAGTATGGCTGTGCATATTGCAGGAGATAAAAAGAATAGTTATGCAGAAACAATGATTTTTATAAAGAAAAATCTGCCCTTCCACCTCATTTATGTGGTGGTATTTGTTCCTAAATAAATTCAAAGTTTTACAGTTTTACAAGAATTACAACAAATTCACAAATAAAAAATATGAGATTTGGAAATATGCATTAAGATTCACAAATGTTTTCTCATGTCTTGACAAAACAAAACATGAATTTCAGACTCACAAACACTTTTCCCAGTGTTCATTTGTGGAAATGCAAGCATTTATTCGGGCTGTTTGAATTAAATGTCTTAATAATATGTCTGATATGAATATGTCTGATATGAAATGTCTAAATAATAATAACATTTAAAAAAATGTTTTTTGTGCTTGTCTACATATCTTAACCATCATATAATATTCTGTCAGCCAATCAATCAATAAACTAAGAAACAGTAGTATGGTGTATGACTATAATTATGGATATTCACTGCAGACTGCCCCATCATTCCATTAGCATTTACCTGGGCTGGTTGTCCTGTGCCAGGTTCTCTCCTCTCTGGTAGGCATGGTCAGCGATCTGAGTGGTGGATCTCTTGAGGATCTGCTTGAGCTCAGGCTCCAGACGCTCCATGATGGCTTTAATGGTTTCCGGGATCTTCTTGAGTTTGGCCAGAGCTTTGATCAGGATCCCCATGAACTCTGCACTGTTCTCCTCTGGGTCTACGTCCAAGTCCTCTCTCATTTCCTGCAGCTCACGCACTGCACAAACACACATGCACTCCATCAAGAACACTACAACAATATATAATTACAGCAGCATGAATGGACTGAACGGTTTATGGAACACCTACATAAATATACGAGCAACCTTGACAGCACACAGATGGTAGTAAAACTTTAAGATATGGTTTGCTAATTGTTAAATCATTAAATATTACATAACTATTAAAAGGTCACTAATGTGCATTCCAATTTGAATATATGAATAAATATGAATATGTACTAACAATCTGTTAAGATGTTAATGTTATTAAATTTATTTATAATGACGTTTTCCTCAGAGAGATTTTACAGGTAAAAAGGTTAGTAATATTAATGTAAAGTAACAGTAATATATTAATAATTAAACCCAAATGATAGAAAATCTACAGTAGGTTCACTTGAACCAACAATGCCTGGAATTTAAATACATTTCAAGTTATTTTTCACAATGTTTCAGGGCCACGCTTTCCTAATTTCATAATCATTTCCTCCCTTCTCATCATGGCATCAGCACAATCCTTAAATAAACCTGCATTATGCACCTCTCCATATTCACCTGCTCAACGGAGAGATCGTACAGTGAAGTGCTTATTTTTCTGTCTGCTAATACCGTCCAATCCAATGACTGTTTAAAATGATTTTAATGTTTATGGCAAGTTAATGGGCTCAGGTTTTTTTTCTTTTCTCTCCACCAACTGTAGCTTGCTAAATAATTACTACAATTACCTCCGACAAATGATGCGCAAAAGGCCATTAGACAAAATAGGTGACAAAAGGGAAGCGTCTTCCACAGCAGGGGAAATGTTGTCTGATGGCGTCACCCGATCACACATAAAGCACTGCGACAGCAATAATTGCAAGCGTTTCATGTAATGTGAAGAAAACTGCAGCTAGCGCAAGAATTTCTCAATAGTCCTGTGAATTAGAGACATTTCTACCTGCTTTAGCAAAATCAACGCAAATAACAATAAAAGGGTGAGTAATCATCTAAAGTGACAGACAGACAGACAGATGGATGATGGATGGATGGATGGATGGACAAGCAGACAGATAAATAGATGGACAGACAGACGGATCCTATCTATCCATGGATGGATGGATGGATGGATTGAAGGATGCACAGACGGATAGGATAGATGGATAGATAGCTGGATAGATAGATAGACGGATGGTTGGATGGACAGACACACAGATGGAAGGATAGACGGATAGACAGACACACACAGAGAGATGGACAGACAGATAGATAGATAGACAGACAGACGGACAAATGGACAGACAGACAGGCAGATAGGGTTGTCGATAGTTGTACTGACGATTGACAACATGTCTCAGAGGCAGTGTGGGAGAAACAGACAGCTGTGGGTGGCTTGGTGGGTCTGATAACAGTCTCAGAGTGCAGTGGAGTCGGCACCCCACACAGGAGAGCAGGGATAACGAGGCCCGCACCCCCGCTGTGCTGACAGCGCTGCATGATTAATAATGTGAGAGAGTATCTCATCTGCACCAGTTAATATGCTTACTGAAACATGATGTATTGAGATCATGAAACCTGAGAGTGCGTGTTCTTGTGTGTGTGCAGACACAGGTCTTTTTTAGAGGTGCGTGCAAGTGAAAGTGTGAGTCACTGTGTAATTGTAAAAGTGAAAATTGGTATGTCATTGAGTTTTGGTGTGTATATTACAATGATCGTCTCAATGGACATATAATAGGAGTGTGTGTTCATGCAAATGCTTTCCTGAACACACAGAACGCAATAGTTGCAAGTCTTTTCTTGTCTGTGGCAGCCCCCAGTGTCATATTAATAGACACAGTGACACTGGTCAGACGTGTCCTAATGATTTAATTAGCACTTTGAACACTGGCAGACAATATGGAGCACCTGGCCCTACAAAATCACCTCTTGCTTCATAACAGCCAGGACACCTGCTGTTCCCTTCAGTACAGCAGAGAGGAATCTATCATTCAAATTATGAGCCACTAAATCAAGTTCTAATTCACTCGCTCTCTGCAAAAGTAGCACTCTATTTCTCTCGTTTGCTGGCTAATGGTCACTTTGTCTTGTCTTTGGATGTTTTTTTGTCTTCAAGTTTTGAATACATCAAAATATCAGCCAATGAAAATTTTTATGGAGAAAAAAAAAAAAGGTTTTTGGCCAAAAGAGAAAATAGGCAGAAAATGAGCAGAAAATGCAACTCATCTATACAACTAAACTGTGTACATTAAAATTTTTAAATATAATTTTATAGAATTGTAAATTTATTGTATTTGCAAATATATACTTATAGTACATTTAAATAAAATATTTGTATATATTTTTTTATATATATAATACATTTTAAATATATTTAGTAGTTAAATTATATTTATATTTATAAATATAATAATTTAGTAATTTCTACTGCTGTATATTTGTAGTGATTCTTACTGCTGGATGTTCCAGGGGTGCTGAACTGTGAGTGTTCTGTGAGCTTGCGTGGAGTGGACAAACCGACATCCAAAACAGATGTATCCTTTGAAGCAGACCTGAAAAACAAAAAAACAAAGTTACTGTTACTACAGTCTTCAAAATAGTAACCATTATTATAGTGACAGCAGCTATTGTTTAAACATTCATAAAAAGAGCAGCCATGAATGTTTTATGAAAATAACAGAGAACCTTCCGCAAAACCATTGCCATTAAAGTGGTCAGAACACGAAGAATCAAACAAGGCAGATTGCAAAACACATATGAGAAAGAGGAAATGAATAAAAATCCTGCCAGAAAACTGCAGTCGCGTCGTGACCCTGCCTAATAAATCACTTCTCCTCATGAAAGCGTCGCGCTATAATTACATGGCCGTAAACAGAGCAGCGGAAGAGCGACAAACACGCACGCACAATTCTGAGATCAAAAACACTACTGCAAACAACTCCACACTTCAGCCCTGCGGGGGTCACCAACCTGCATTAGCTTAATGCGCTACACCGCTGTGCCTTGCCTAATCTATGAGAATTAGCATTGCAGAGGCATCGGCGGCGGCGGCGGCGGTTCGCACGGCACGCTGACGGAGGGGGTCAGCAATCCCCCGGCGACAGTGCGCGCGTGGGCGGCTGTGTCGCCATCGAGAAAAGCAAAAACCTATTATCATTCCTCTCGTGCTCATCCACGAGGGTGCGAATTACTTATCTCTGTCTGTGCTGAAAGCCGGCATCAGAGCCACGGTGGCCAGGCCCCGTATGCAGGGACAGGAAGAGAACAGTCGTTAATCAGCTAATTACATGACTCTGGTGAGAAGAATGCAACAGGGCCAGAGAGGCTTTGTTTACCAACAAGCTAATGATTTAAGACCCTGGTGAACAAAGCATTCAATAAAGAATTAACATTGTGATTTCCCTTCAAGATAGCATAATCACACCCGTCATTAATTACGTGAAGCAGATCTATGCTGAGATCCAGAAAAAGACTTTAGTGAAGACGCGTAACACATTTTCTAAGTGTCACCCCTTTGACTAATTAAAGTTTATTCAGAACGTCAAACTAGCTGGGGTTCAAGCCAGCTTTGCCCCATATATTCAGGCTTGGATTCTTAATTAGTCTGATCAGTTATTTTGTCTGGCATATTCCACATCCTTATTAATGATCAGACAGCAATGACTCATGGGATGTTTGGTTTAAGATAGCACGTCTCTCTTTTTAAAAAAGTACATACACTGTAATTAGATGAGTTGTGTGCCCTGCCACCATTAACCTGGGAAGGTAAATTAATCTAAAGCAGTGAAATGACTTTCCAGCTCTGAAGGTAATTGCTTCAAAATTCAGTTTACCGCCACAACCTGAATCAAACGTTCTTAGAAAGATATTTTATATTATTGACGTTTTGTAATATTATTGACCTACTTTGGGTCCAAATACTAAGCCTACATATCTTTGATTTGAACTGATCTGAAAGCAAGCAATAAGGATCTAGTTTCGCCCAGCTGCATGCACTTCTCAATCAAATAATATTTTATCAAAAGCATGCCATAGTAGCTCACCGGCCCTTGTCCTTGTCTTTTCCTCGGTGACCCACGCGGCTGGTTGATTTGATGTAGAGGTGTCGATGGAGCTCGTCAATTAGCACCAGATGGATGTTGAGCTTCTTACTGTGGAGCTCCAGTCGCAAGTCGCCGAGACCCTCCACCTGTAGCAGGGGTCCTTCAAGAGAATCCACCGCTGAAACCTGCAAACACAACACCACAGCTGAAGTTTCCATCTGCCTGTGTGTCTACGTACAAAAATGTTAAATGATGGAATGTAGTTGAATGTCAAATTTAGTGACCCCAAAAATATTTGGAGACTTGAGCCTCACTTAAAAGTGTATGAATTTTATTGCATTAAATAAAAAAAATTTTTTTTAAAAAATAAAATAAAATTATTAGCCATTTTTGCTTTTTTTTTGTCCCGATGTAATTGTAGCAGATGTTTGAGGTCAGCCACCTTCAGCAGTTCATAATAAAGTTAATTTACAACCATAAAGAGTCTAAATATTTTTAAATGTTAATTTTGAACATAATAATTTATTGTTTTAATTTAGAACCAAACAAACTTCTTTTTGTGAAATGTTATGCTTGAAAACAGTGCTTTTTATTAACTTTTTTTTTTTAATCGGTAGAACTTGGTTTGATATTTTGTTATCTTATGCTGTGACTTCATACATTTCTAAATGTGGTGAAGTATCTGAATATTTATTAAGACCACTGTATGTTGGTTATAAAATATGGCTGTTCATCTATACTTCGGGTCCTTAGTATCTACTGTTTTGCATGTTCATTCGAAACTCAAATCCCAATGTAGCTTGTCCATTGCTAGTAGCCGAATAACTGAAGTGTTCCAGGTGTATCCACTGTTGTCAAACAACCACCTAGATTAGCTGCGCTCCAGGATCACATAATAGCACAGAACACACCCACCCATCAAAAACCACAACGATAAAGCACAATAACAACTCTCGTCCAATCAAGGTATTAAAAGAGGGAGATTGCAGTGTGGTGGACCGCAGTGGCGCTGAATATTTACTCTGCTGAATGCGTGTGGCTCTCCTGCAGAGAGCATAATGAAGTATGCTGGGTGAATGAGGTGTGAGACAGCGCTTATCAGTGAACACAAAGTGAGAAAATGATGCAAAAACCCAGAAAACAAAATTAATATATAAGCTTTCTATTTCTTTCGCACACAGAGATTTAATAGATTTACTACTTTTTTTGTTCAAAAATCTCTAAATAATATGAAATAAGTAAAATTCCTAATAATAAATAAAATTCCCAAGAATTACTAAAATTCCTAAAAAAATTTAATCCCTAATAAATAAATAATTAAATAAATAAAATAATGGTAAATTAAATCTGTAATAAATAAAATACCTAATAAAATCAATCATTAAATAAATAAACAAATTCCTAATAAATAATAAATTCCTAATAAATAAATACATATATACATGAATACACACACGTTATATATATTCCACATCATAGAAAATGTTGTAAGCTGTGGATACAGAACGTAATTTTAAAAAGTATATTGCTTTTTTGCTCTGTTTTGTGTATCTGTTTTTCATCTCCTCCTCCCTCTCTCATACACATGTGCAAGGGGATTTTGAAGCAGAAAAATGAAGAACAAATGCAACTTAACATGGAGAACGAGTCCAGGTAGTCCCCTCAGGCTTAGCTTTAATGCTGTCCTGGATCTGCACATATCAGCAGCTACTTGCCATGCTGCCGCATTTGCAAACCGAATCTGAAGCAGTTGTGAGGTTGATAAGTTCAATTTCCTCATTTCATTCACCTGACCTGGCTCACATATCCCAGAGCCTTGATCTTCTATGCAACCTTTCCCTTCTTCCTTCCATCCTTCTTTTAATCTCGTACACACTCTCTCTCTCTTGCTCTTTTTTATTGCATTAACTTGTATTTCTAGTCTTTACTTCTCTTTGCCTTTACCTCTCCTCTCCCTCGGCACTGAACTACCCTGCAGTGGCTACTGCTTGTTTTTATTTTGTGAATAAATCATAAAATGGCTCTGAATGAATGTGCTTTATTAGAGGGCAGCTAATGGCCTGTTAATAGTGCTCTGTAGGGCCATCACTGCATCGCATTTGACAGACAGAGGAGGGGTCACACAAGTCAAGGAGTTGTTCATGCAAATGAAATGCATGAGCCACAGCGTATACCTGCAGGATCAGCTGAGCATGTGTAAGTGTGCATGTTTGCATGTCTTATTGCCAAACCTGGTTTAGTTGAGAAGACACTTCAATTTGCAACTGAGATACTTGTTTTTATAGATTTGAGAGGAGAGGGGAGAGAGGGAAGAAGAGGCAAAGAGATAGAATAGGAAAGGTTAGTAAAGGAGGATAAGAGAAAGAAAAATAGTTAAAGACGGGAAGAGGACAAGGAAACGAAAGGGAAGAAGGAGAGAAAAGGGAACAGTTAAGGACATGAGAGGAAGAGAAAGAGGAAAGGAGTAGAGAAGAGGAAAAAGAAAGTAACATGGAGCAGGAGGAACAGTTAAGGACATGAAAGGAATAGAAAGAGGAAAGGAGATGAAAGAAATATGGAGAGGGAGTGGAAAGGTTAAGTGCAGGAAAGAAGAAGGAAAAATAAAAAACGAAAATAGAGAGGAAGAGGAAAAGTAAAGGACAGAAAAGGAAATGAAGAAGAAGGGTAAAAGAAAGAAAAAAGAGAACAAAAGAAAACATAAGAGAAAAAAAGAAAAGGAAAGAAAAAGGGAGAGGAAGAAGAGAAGGAAAGAAAAATAAGTGAGAGGAATGTGGAGATGAATGGTTATGGACAGCAAAAGAAAAAGGAAAGGAAAGGAAAGGAAAGGAAAAATGGAGAGGAAACAGAAAGTGTAGGAAAGGGCAGAAAAGGACAGGAAAGGAAGAGGAAAAGAAAGAAAAGCATAAATGAAAGAAAAACAGAGAGGAAAAGGAAAAAAAAGAGGAAGATGGAAAATGGAGACTAGGAAAGGAAGACAGAAAGAGGAAGAAGGAAAGGAAAGGAAAGGAAAAAGGAAAGGAAAGGAAAGGAAAGGAAAGGAAAGGAAAGGGCAAATCAAGAGCGGAAAGTGCCGATTCAACAAATGTGAGGTAATGAATGACAGCTCATCTGAATAGCACACACTGGGGAGGTTAACCAGACTGACAGGTACGAGAGTTACAAATGTGTATGTGTGCGTGTTCATGTAAGTAACAGACAAAAGTGAGGGACAGTGTTTTCAGATGAGAGTTGCAAATTGAAACAGTCAAATCTCTGTTGGCAGTCCCAATACTTCTCGTCAGATTTAACACAGTCACACACACAGGAGGAGACCACCACCTGAGAGACCTGAGAGAGCGGGAGGAAGGAAGCTTGTCATCTCTGACCACAGCTGATTTCCCCTGTTGAGAGAGAGATGTGGGTGTACCCAAAGAAATAATGTTCAAATACCTGATGAAAAAGTCCCAAAAAAACAAAAACACCTGGAGATTCAGCTCCTTCTTATTTTTGATGATGTTTTTAGACTCATAAGGTTTGGTTAATGCAGTGGGAAAGAATCACCTGACCAGAGTTGCATAACTGAATAAGTCACTGTTTAAGTTAGCACACATGCTCCTGACACACACCACGCAGGTGACACAGATAAATAACTTCATGTCACTCTCCACCCTATTGTTCAATAGTTTGGGGTCTGTAAGGTTTTTTACTTTTTTTTTTTTTTGAAAAAAGATTCTTTTTGGAAATTCTCTTTAAAAAAAATTTAAAATGTAAAATAAGTGCTTTCTATTTTAATATATTTTGAAATTTGATTTATTCCAGTTAGTTTATTCCAGGCAAAGCTGAATTTACAGCAGCCATTACTCATTACTCCAGTCTTCAGCGTCACATGATCCTGCAGAAATCATTCGAATATGCTGATTTGCTGCTCAAGAAACAATTCTAATTACTGTTGAAAACAGTTGTGAAAAATGTTGATTTTTTTTAAATATTTGTTCATAGGTATGTAGGCATTTATTATGATTGCTTTGTTTTTTTCACTTAATTCTGTAACAATTTGATACTTGTATTGTGCCTTGAGATGCTTATGTGCTTTTCTTTATTTAAAAAAAAAAATCTTTTTTTTTTTTAGGATTCTTTGATGAATATAAAGTTCAAAAGAACAGAATTTATTTGAAATTGAATATTTTTTTTACAATGTAAAAGTCTTTACGGTCACTTAATGCATCGTTAGCTAAATAAAAGTATTATTTAATTCAAAAAACATTATTTAAAAAAAATCTTTCTGTACCTAAACTTTTAAACAATAGTGTAAATATTTACAATACCAGTCAAATTACAACTAAATTTACGTTTTCATAATCTAAAAGATCTTTACGTCTAAAGGATTATGCTTGACATTTCTTTAAAATATCATGTAATATTTGGCATTTTTGCTATGTTAAATGCAAAAAATATATATTTGCATTTAACATATATATATAAATATATATTTAAATATATGTTATAAAAATGTTATATAGTATATATACTATATGTTATATAGTATTATAATGTTTAAAAGTTTTGCCCATGTATGGATTTCATTTCTTACAAAAAAACCTATGTATTTATTTTTTAAACAAAGCATCCCAAGAAGCACACAATGAAATTGGTTGTAAGAATTTAATCAGTGTCCAAAGCTCAAATTAAAGAGCTATATTGAATTTAATATTTTTATGTATGAGAGGACAAGCTGAAAAAAAAAAACAGGTTGCATGTACTTACCATGGAATGAATAAAATTTCTCCTATCAACACATTCAAACACACACTCACCAGCATATCTGTGGCGTGCAGGTAGTGCTTGCTGGCCAGCCATGCCTCCAACTTCTGAGGGACCTGTTTGATGTTCTCGATCTCGTCCAGCAAGCTGAGGACATGCTTGTGCTCGACACCTTCGATCCACAGCTTCCTCAGTTCATCTCGCTTACAGTGGAGGAGCATCTTACAGGACAACAGGTTCTCCTTGACCTGAGCAGAGAGCAGCCCACACACACCATGTCAGGAGAAGGTGAAAGTTCACACTTGATTAAACAAGCATCAGCTTCACAGTTTTCCTTCCACAGCTCTGCTCGGTTCTTTGCATAATTATTTTCAAGTGTGTCAGCAGCAGGGGAGAAGATGATAAACAAACACTTTGCCGTAGATTAAAACCTGAGCTTAGTGGCTAATTTACAAGGATATTATTTCAGACATCGAAGACAATTACTAGTGATTCCTAATGATTCTTTTATGATGGCTCACCATGTAAATCATTCCCTGGGTATTATAGCCAGTATTATATCAGGCTGCATGCAGCTTGTGTGTGTTTACGTATTGGTAGGTTATCACAGAACTATGTGGGCTACAAAGTAAAGCAGCAGTTGCATTTCAACACCACCAGCTGCTAACCAGAGAGAAAAAAAAAGAATTCCTGTGTGATGAGGAAGTTATTTCAATCAGCCATAAACAAACAGACTGACAGCATGAAGATGTATTTCTATGCGATTGGCAGCTATGTGAGTATTTTATTAAAGTACATTACTAAGTCATTGTGCATCTGCCTTAAATCAGGGTTTTTAACAATGTAACCTGAAGGTTCTCCAGGGGTCAGTGAAGAAGAAACAGATACATATTTGTAATCAATACTTTTATTCAGCAAGGATACATTAAATTAAAAAGCATCAGTAAAGACATTTATAATGTTACCAAGGATTTCTATTTCAATTAAATTGTCTTTCGAACTTTTGAACTCTTTATTAAAGTAAAAAATGCATCACAGTAGCCACAAAAATATTGAGCAGCACAACTGTTTTCAAAAATGATAACAATAATAAAAGTTATATGATGCTATTTAATGTTCTTATTGTAATATATTATAAAATGTTACAAAGAAAACCTAGCTTTATTATACAGGGGAACCTGATACGCCTGTTATGATTATGATTTTTTTGGGATTAAAGATTTAATTGTATGCTTTGCTCATGTCTCTTACCGTGTACACCTAAAACATTTTTTATATTTTATATAGGCCCATACAATTTTTTTTTTAATGCTGTGAAAATAATATTTTAGAACTATTAAACTATTTCTCTTTTTTTGTGAAATCTTGCTCCACTTTTATATTCACTCTGAAGCCCAGCAAACCTGAATATAATATAATATAATAACCCTACCACACAGACAAATCAGAAAGCTGCCCATATTTACACTTGTTTGGGTGTTGCCGAATGCAGATGAATGTGTTGCACACCTGTTTGATCTTGTTGCGAGAGCTGGTGATCCTCTCTGTGATGCTCTGGTAGGTTCGGATGGCTGTGGTGAGCTCTGTGTAGTGCTGAACAATCAACTCATCCACATCATGGTCACACTTCTCATAGGCCTCCTCCAGACGGCCCTTCTCTGTCTCTCGGTCCTGCACATCTTCACTGCTGGACAATGTCCTGACCAAAAAATAGCAAACATATGCTACATCAAACTGTACCAAACTGTTACATTTTACAAAAACACACTACTACTACTACTACTACTACTAATAATAATAATAATTTCATATACGGTATAATATTATATTATTACATCTTTGCCTGGTTCATCGGGGTAAATAAAAAAAAAAATTGTAAATGAATTAATTAATGAATAAATAAAGTAAAAGTTTATTTATTTAGTTAGTTATTTTTAAATAAATAAAAATATTTTCTTTGTTAATTTTGGGAATGAATGGGTGAATGAATGGATAAATGAATCAATTAAAAGAAATTATAGTAAACAAACAATAATTATTTTGTAAAAATTCTATTAATTTTTTATATATATATATATTTTTTTTTTTTGTATATAAAAATTGTATAACCAAGACAACATATACCTACTATAATCATGCAATATACCAACTATAATCATGCAATTCAATAATAAAAGACACATGCCCATGACATTTCTCTAGCATCTTGGCTTTGGCTTTCATGCTATTTCTGACACTGGAAAATCGTGATTGACTGCAGTACGCTTAAATCTTCCAGAGCCAAGGCTGCACTCAATCTAAACTCATCCTGTCATCATTATGTTGCAAACTTTCAGATAGATGTAGTTGGATTTTTGGCCATCACAACACAATTTCACAACAATCCATCATCAGACGCCCACCCACTCGAGGAGACCCGCTGGGGCCGGTGCCAATCCAACAATGTCCCAGACCGCAGACTGCCAGACATCACAGCTCAGCTCTCAAAGTCTGTCCAGACTCATTTCCAGTGGTGTGGCTTTAAAATCAGAGTAAAAGAAGGCAGCACAATCTCCCAAAAGAGCTCATTACATTCATTCCAGTCTCTGGAGCTAAGAAAGATATAGAAAGAACGACTGAGAGACAGAATCCAGTAGGGAAAATTCCCTTCAAGCTCGCAGTGAAGCACAGATCATGTAGATATGGGTTCGGCCCATAGACTCGCTCTTTTTTGACCTCACTCGATTGCCCATAGGACATCATAATGGAAACGGCTGATGGGTAAAAAGCAGATAAAAGAGCTGTGAAGCAGAATGATGGATTTCTGACAGCTTATCAGCTCAGCTGTGCTCAATGGAAGAAAAAAGGTTTAATTTATGTAAAGACAAGGTTTGATGCTGTGCATGTAATATTTGGGCAAAAAGTCCATTACAAGTCAACCACGCATTACCAAAATCATGAATATGTACTGTAACTATATCCATCAATAAGGCAGCAACTTTACCACACTATATTTGGTTCTGGCTGCCATCTATCATCAGTTGAGATGTTTTACACCATAAGGGCCTCAAATAGCTCTCTTCGGATCCGTCATATCTTGGCAATGGCATTTAATATGTACACAACTTCCAGCCTTTTCCCTGCCTGGCCTCAAAAAAAAAAACTGTGCAGACAAGAACTAATCTGTGAATACATATTATTACGTAATATGCTACTAATTATATTTATTATATTACGTATAATACATTATAATACATTTTTCATATCATGCTGCATTTTCCACTGCAATCTATTAGATGTTCTATTCTTGTACTTTAACGCTATTGCACTTGCATGTTGTGATTGTGTTATTTAAGTTAAGTGTAGACAAACAAGACAAATAATCAGACTGCGTTTATGATGTTCAAACAGTGCTGTTTAGGTAAACAGTTCCCTAGGTACCATCTGTTTTGAAACTCAGTCCTGTCAAAACATAAGCACTGTCCATTTTTAAACACGTTTTGAAGTATGCCTACAAACTCTGTGTCATTCAAAAGACCTCACAGCAAACTAAAAACTTAAGTTTATGCAAAGGAAAGTTTCTTAAGATAGACTTGTCATACAATTCATAAGTGTAATAAAATATGAAAGAATGACAGGATGTATCGTTAGCAAACATGCTAAGCGGTTATCCATTCTGGTCTTTTTCCGTAGAAATTCCGGGTGCAAAGATTTAACGCAGTCAAAGTCAAGCTGGCCGGCACAGACATTGTAAAAATTTCGTGCTCACCTTATTACAGATATAAGTAAACCGGAGGGGTCTTTGCTTTTGGAGACAGCGCTCCGGTATCTGCCTGTGTCAGCTGCCATCTTTCCGCTACTACGCCCAAACACCTCGTGACGGTCTTCAGCCAATGGGAAGCCGCCATCAGCAAAATCAGCTGATTGTAGAGAGATCATAGGGAAATGTAGTTTTTTGCTGAAAATGCCTACAATAGTCTCTCAGTCGTCTACAAGAAAATATGGGCATGTTATGAACAGTATGCAGTGAGGGACTGTAGTGATGGGAGGTCGCATGCGCACTCATTTCCCACGACTCGGTTCTTCGAACATTTCGTATGAAAGAAGAAGTTATAAAAGATTCAGTGATTTTTATGTCATCACATGTTTCAATAACAGTATGAGAATCGCTTATTGTATAATTTCCACCTAATAAACTATAAACTTGCAAGGTTGGTTTTTCACCCCATTGCTCATTTTGTCAGCAATTTGAAGAAATAATTACACACTTATTTTGTGTTTTGGATTGCCTGTTGTTTTGTTAAAAGTACTTTTTATTTATTTATTTATTTATACATATTTTATTCATATTACTCGCAAAATTATATACAATTTACATAAATGTACATTTAAAAATATATACCATCTTTTTTATTTTCAAGAAAGATGTTGGTATATATTTGAATTATTTAAGTAACTTTGGAAATTATATTTTTCTATAGTGTAATACTTTTAATTTAATGTATTGTAATCCTCTTAGAATATTCTGTTAATTGTCTTTTTGTAAATGTTGTCTTCTTTGTTGCAATAAAACATTAAACATGTTGCTGTTTTTCATTTTATTTTGCTGTTTATTGTTTCTGTTTCAATAATAAACAGTCCCATTTGTCCATTTAAGTTGCAGTCATTATTCAACTCATTAAAAAATGCAATACATAAAATCTAATGAAATGTACATATCAGTCAACTCTAAAATTCCTTTACATATTTTACTGAAAATGTTTTTCCTTTTTTAAAAGTACTAAAAGTACTGTTCCAAAAGTAACTTAATGTACATTTAATCTTGAACAAATCATTGTTCATCGGGGTAAATAAAAAAAAAAATTGTAAATGAATTAATTAATGAATAAATAAAGTAAAAGTTTATTTATTTAGTTAGTTATTTTTAAATAAATAAAAATATTTTCTTTGTTAATTTTGGGAATGAATGGGTGAATGAATGGATAAATGAATCAATTAAAAGAAATTATAGTAAACAAACAATAATTATTTTGTAAAAATTCTATTAATTTTTTATATATATATATATTTTTTTTTTTTGTATATAAAAATTGTATAACCAAGACAACATATACCTACTATAATCATGCAATATACCAACTATAATCATGCAATTCAATAATAAAAGACACATGCCCATGACATTTCTCTAGCATCTTGGCTTTGGCTTTCATGCTATTTCTGACACTGGAAAATCGTGATTGACTGCAGTACGCTTAAATCTTCCAGAGCCAAGGCTGCACTCAATCTAAACTCATCCTGTCATCATTATGTTGCAAACTTTCAGATAGATGTAGTTGGATTTTTGGCCATCACAACACAATTTCACAACAATCCATCATCAGACGCCCACCCACTCGAGGAGACCCGCTGGGGCCGGTGCCAATCCAACAATGTCCCAGACCGCAGACTGCCAGACATCACAGCTCAGCTCTCAAAGTCTGTCCAGACTCATTTCCAGTGGTGTGGCTTTAAAATCAGAGTAAAAGAAGGCAGCACAATCTCCCAAAAGAGCTCATTACATTCATTCCAGTCTCTGGAGCTAAGAAAGATATAGAAAGAACGACTGAGAGACAGAATCCAGTAGGGAAAATTCCCTTCAAGCTCGCAGTGAAGCACAGATCATGTAGATATGGGTTCGGCCCATAGACTCGCTCTTTTTTGACCTCACTCGATTGCCCATAGGACATCATAATGGAAACGGCTGATGGGTAAAAAGCAGATAAAAGAGCTGTGAAGCAGAATGATGGATTTCTGACAGCTTATCAGCTCAGCTGTGCTCAATGGAAGAAAAAAGGTTTAATTTATGTAAAGACAAGGTTTGATGCTGTGCATGTAATATTTGGGCAAAAAGTCCATTACAAGTCAACCACGCATTACCAAAATCATGAATATGTACTGTAACTATATCCATCAATAAGGCAGCAACTTTACCACACTATATTTGGTTCTGGCTGCCATCTATCATCAGTTGAGATGTTTTACACCATAAGGGCCTCAAATAGCTCTCTTCGGATCCGTCATATCTTGGCAATGGCATTTAATATGTACACAACTTCCAGCCTTTTCCCTGCCTGGCCTCAAAAAAAAAAACTGTGCAGACAAGAACTAATCTGTGAATACATATTATTACGTAATATGCTACTAATTATATTTATTATATTACGTATAATACATTATAATACATTTTTCATATCATGCTGCATTTTCCACTGCAATCTATTAGATGTTCTATTCTTGTACTTTAACGCTATTGCACTTGCATGTTGTGATTGTGTTATTTAAGTTAAGTGTAGACAAACAAGACAAATAATCAGACTGCGTTTATGATGTTCAAACAGTGCTGTTTAGGTAAACAGTTCCCTAGGTACCATCTGTTTTGAAACTCAGTCCTGTCAAAACATAAGCACTGTCCATTTTTAAACACGTTTTGAAGTATGCCTACAAACTCTGTGTCATTCAAAAGACCTCACAGCAAACTAAAAACTTAAGTTGATGCAAAGGAAAGTTTCTTAAGATAGACTTGTCATACAATTCATAAGTGTAATAAAATATGAAAGAATGACAGGATGTATCGTTAGCAAACATGCTAAGCGGTTATCCATTCTGGTCTTTTTCCGTAGAAATTCCGGGTGCAAAGATTTAACGCAGTCAAAGTCAAGCTGGCCGGCACAGACATTGTAAAAATTTCGTGCTCACCTTATTACAGATATAAGTAAACCGGAGGGGTCTTTGCTTTTGGAGACAGCGCTCCGGTATCTGCCTGTGTCAGCTGCCATCTTTCCGCTACTACGCCCAAACACCTCGTGACGGTCTTCAGCCAATGGGAAGCCGCCATCAGCAAAATCAGCTGATTGTAGAGAGATCATAGGGAAATGTAGTTTTTTGCTGAAAATGCCTACAATAGTCTCTCAGTCGTCTACAAGAAAATATGGGCATGTTATGAACAGTATGCAGTGAGGGACTGTAGTGATGGGAGGTCGCATGCGCACTCATTTCCCACGACTCGGTTCTTCGAACATTTCGTATGAAAGAAGAAGTTATAAAAGATTCAGTGATTTTCATGTCATCACATGTTTCAATAACAGTATGAGAATCGCTTATTGTATAATTTCCACCTAATAAACTATAAACTTGCAAGGTTGGTTTTTCACCCCATTGCTCATTTTGTCAGCAATTTGAAGAAATAATTACACACTTATTTTGTGTTTTGGATTGCCTGTTGTTTTGTTAAAAGTACTTTTTATTTATTTATTTATTTATACATATTTTATTCATATTACTCGCAAAATTATATACAATTTACATAAATGTACATTTAAAAATATATACCATCTTTTTTATTTTCAAGAAAGATGTTGGTATATATTTGAATTATTTAAGTAACTTTGGAAATTATATTTTTCTATAGTGTAATACTTTTAATTTAATGTATTGTAATCCTCTTAGAATATTCTGTTAATTGTCTTTTTGTAAATGTTGTCTTCTTTGTTGCAATAAAACATTAAACATGTTGCTGTTTTTCATTTTATTTTGCTGTTTATTGTTTCTGTTTCAATAATAAACAGTCCCATTTGTCCATTTAAGTTGCAGTCATTATTCAACTCATTAAAAAATGCAATACATAAAATCTAATGAAATGTACATATCAGTCAACTCTAAAATTCCTTTACATATTTTACTGAAAATGTTTTTCCTTTTTTAAAAGTACTAAAAGTACTGTTCCAAAAGTAACTTAATGTACATTTAATCTTGAACAAATCATTCAGACCGTTTTTGTGAACTGGTTCAATCAAAAGATCCAACTCAAGAGAATGTGAAAGAATATTTTACAAATCAGACATACAACTATGGGAGAAAGACAGAGCGAAAGGTGTAGGTTGTTAATTGCTTTCTGTTTCTAGGATATATTGCTCTAGACCTGCTCCCCTCTATCTCCTGACGATCTCTGCTGTTACAAACCACAGAGGAAAGGGCATTGATTGTGTGGGAAGGGGTCGATCTGGCAGTCTCCTCTTTGACTGATGTGTCCGTGAACAGCAGAGATAACATAGAGGCCCATTTTGTACCCCTTCAAAAAAGGAAACAATCACGGAGACTCTGAGGTTATTTTTCTTATAACTCCTGTGAGCCTATAGTCAGATCCAGAAGTTCTTATCAGCTTCCTCTGAGGCCCATCATTTCTGAGCAATCTATAGTCCTTTGCTGATGACACAGGACTGAGGTTATTTCTCATCACTTGAGCAGGATAAAAAGTTGTCATGATGATGACACCTGAGGGCATGTAGACAAAGACAGCCACCCACTAAAGGACAGAAGACCCACATGCCCACAGCTCCAATTTGACATGAGGACTTCAGGAACATATTTTCTACAGTTGCCTGTTAAGCACTTTTGGGACAAAAAGAATGGTTACAATACGAGATTTTAAAAAATGATAGCTGCTAAGCTGCTAAAAAAAAAAAAAAAAGAAAGAAAATTACTTGCAATTACTCTAAATTACTCTAAATTACTTGCAATACAGTATATATATATAGATTAAAACTATTTTTATATCAATTTTGTTTTAGCAAATAATGGTATTTAATGATGAATAATGAATGTGTGTGTGTATATAGGCTACATATACTTATCTCTTTTAAACAATATGTATATGAAATGTGTATCTACATAATGTATGTATGTGTATATATAAATATATACACACACACACATATAAATATATATATATATATATATATGCTGTTTGGATTGTGTTCAATGATAATGTTTGTTGTTTATTTAAGGAGGTTTAATAAAGGTTAAAATCACGAGGAGTGTTTTTCTTTACTAGAATTTACAAATGAAAAAATGAAATCTTGCAAAAATATGAAATAGGAGAATGTTAAAGTAGAAGACAAATAAAGTACATTATTTACGACTTAGATTCTTTAAAGCCTAAAAAAAGCACAGACCTGTTGTAAGTCATTGAAAAATATCAGCAAATTCGATAAAATAGATATTAATTTCGTACATTGTCCTTTTAATATGAATAAATAAACTAATACATAAATATTCTTTGAAATGCATATTTTCCCTCTATTTATGTTGTCCAATAGAGACGCTAAGCACTTGCGCTCAACCAATGAGAATAGTCTTTCTTCGCCTGTGCCAAGTGGGCGGGGCTAAAGGCGGAAGCGCTGTGTGTTTCTGAAAGGGAGCGTGCGGTCCTGGCTGTGAGAGCTGTCAACTCTTTGGAGTTCATAACTACTGATCAAATTTACATGAAGTAGCTGGTTAAACACCACTTGTTTGTCCAGGAATGGGAGCTAACAACAGCACGCGTCGCGTGTCTTTTGAGTCGGACGAGAATGAGAATATAACGATAGTGAAGGGCATAAGGGTGAGTGACACACACGTCTGTCTGTTCTCCTCCAGCTGTCAAAAGCACATCACGCATACTGACGCATGGCTTTGATTCACCTCTGCTGTGATTTGAATGCATGAGCAGGATCGTGATGAAGGCCTCTAATAGTCTTAACTTATCTAACTGGATAAACATTCTGTTCCCTTACTGGACGCTTACTTCAGCTGACCTGGAAAACCAAATTAAGGTGCAATACAATCCTATTTGTGTCTCTTTAGCAGAGACACCTGTTACAGTTCAAGCATCACAATGCCAACCATGACAGCACTGTGTTCACGCCCCCCATGACTGTCGTTAAACAGTCACCCTTCACACAGCTGTTTATTTTGGTTAATACTAGTACTATATTTACTTTTGATTTGTTTTGAGTGCTGATTTTTAAAGATGCAACTTATTCACACTTGTTTTTTAGACTTTTTGTTTTGTATAGGTGATTTTCAGGGTTACACATAGTTAATGTTTAAAACTGAGTGTTGCATTTCAATAATGATTGTTCATGAAAACAATAATTGTCTAACTAAATAAATTTAGTTTAAGATATTAAAGTTCTAAAAATACACAATTACTACAGCTGAAATTAAGTTATTAATAAAAATACATTTTATTACATTAAAATAGAGATATTAAAAACAACTTCAGTATATTTCACCCTGATTGAAATCCAGCAAGTAAATTTGCATGTATGTACCAAAGGAATTAATATTTATGTGTAGAGTCATTACTTTAATATGTTATTACTTCCAGTAAATGCAGCCTTGGTGATGAGCATAAGATAAAAAAACATTTAGAAAAAATCCTGCCTATGTGTATATATGTATATATATATATATATATTACTCAGAAGTGACAGTAATGATTGTTCATGAAAACAATAATTGTCTAACTAAATAAATTTAGTTTAAGATATTAAAGTTCTAAAAATACACAATTACTACAGCTGAAATTAAGTTATTAATAAATACCTTATTTATTTATTTAAAATATGATTGTGTATGAGGCCTATATTTCTATGTTAAACTTGACATGCCATCTTAAGAAAAATCCCCCAATACCCAAATACTTTTACTTAAGTATCTGTCAAGCAGAATGTCCATTTCTAATTTACATTGTTCATCATTTATATTAAGTTTTTTTCTAAACTAGAGAAGAAAAAGTCATAAGACTGTCATTTGTTTTCTCCATTTCTGCTCTTCAGCTCTCAGAGAAGGTCATCGACCGCATGAGGGAACCCTCAGGCCCACCACAGCCCCCCATCAGAACCCCTCCTGCTTCTCCTCCCGTGGTTGATCCTCTGCCAGCACTGGTGCCAATATCTCCTCCACCTGTCACTTCCTTTCCACCTCCTTCCTTGCCAGAGCGAGTAAAACTCCCTGAGCAAGTGACCACTCCTGCACCTCCTCCTCCTCCTCCACCACCAGCAGAGCCGGCCATTTTCCCCCCACCTCCTCCTGTAGCGACAGCAGCAGCTGAATCAGTGGGTGCTGTATCAGCCCCTGCAGGTGAGTCCATTTCTCCACCTGCTGCCGTAGCTGAGCTTACAACAGCATCTCCACCTGTGGAAATAATTGCCCCACCTCCCTCTTCTAAACCCAGCACTTCTCCTCCCCTTGCTGATTCTGTTGCCTCCCCTCTTGCTTTTGAGCTTTTCACACCTCTTCCTCCCCCGGTAGAATCCATTCCTACCCATCCTATCACTAAAACCGCTTCTGAATCCATCTCTGCTCCACCTGTAGAAATAACCACCCCCTCCCCTCCAGCTGAACTTGTCGCTCCTGTTGCTTCCGCTGCTGAAACTATCCCGCACCCTCCTCCGTCTGTAGAAAAACCTGTGGCTTCTTCAACACCACCACCTCCTACCGGTGAGTCGATTGTTCATGTAATGCTGACACACATACATGCTTTCATGTGGTCTGCTTTTGAAAATATGAAGGAATAACAGTTTAAGGTATTTCACACATATTGCAAGGTGCACTTCAGTGCCTGTCATTCATGAGCGTTAATGCTACTCCTCAGGTAAATTGCATCTTGCAAGCACACTGAATGTGTTGGTACACCATTGCGAAGGGGAAATATTACACATCAAGTCATTCTGGGTAATTTTATGGAATTCAAACTTCTCTTAAACACATCAGAGTACGTGGGTGGAGAGGAGCAACAGCAATTTTCCCTGACTAAAGTGTTCTAGCCTATAACATAGTACTATAATAATAATTGTTGTGCAGAATCATAAAAAATAATAATAATTAAATAATAATAAATAATAATAATAAAAATTAATAATTAATTTTTAAAAAAATGCTTACACAGTTTTTTGAACTACGGCCCCATTTCTCTAAACTTTACACACAAAACGACAAAACACACACACAACATGCAAACACTTCATTCAAAACTATTTGAACTCTTCTAAAAATTTTATTTTTGTGTGGTAACTGTACTGTACACACAAACATAAAATAATTAGCCACATACATGCCAAACTACATACAGATGTGAAAAATGTAAAAAACTACTCTTGTGTGTCTTTTGCTTGTTTAGAGTGCACAGGAGTTTGTCATATCACATACATGCATATGCACATATACACTGTATATACAGTATGCATGTACAACTGATGAATTTTACACAGTTATACTAAATACTGAACTGACTTGAGATGTATAATGACACAATTGACTTGTTAGAGCTGCTTTACAGCAGAATTTGAATTTGATACTTTTGTGAAGTTGCTGTGAAACAATCTATATTGTATAAAGCGCTTTAGAAATAAAGTTGACTTTCTGACTTGGCTTGTATGCATATTCAGTGTATATATATGTATGTGTGTGTGTGTATATATGTACTGTACATACATATATATTATATACATACACATAGTATATAATCATATATACATATACATATTTATGTATATATATATTTATATATATACTGTATATACAGTATGTATATATATATATATATATATATATATATATAAATATATGTTACAAAACACTGAGTTTTGATTTCTAAGTGAACAAATGATGTATAAGTGTTTTCTCACATGATCACTGGCTGTAGGTCATCAGTAAATGAGTGTGGCATTTAAATGGCAGTGTTTCCCAAATGAAACAAAAGAGCTGTTGGTTTGGAATGATGTGTGTAATGTAACTGTGTTTAGAGTAGTTTTGCAAAAAGTTTGTTTTACAATAGCAAACTGTGTTTAAAGCACGTAATGTGGTCTAAAGATTAGGTATATGAGTGAATGGTTTCAGTGAGTGGGCCTCAAGTGCCACTTTTAGTGTCTGCAATTTTTAAAAACTAATACATTTTAATGTGGCAGAGACAGTGAGACATTTAGCTGAACTTTAGCTTCTTTAAATTATTATTGTAGGATAGTTCACGGATAGTTCAAAGAAAAATGAAAGTTCTGTCAACTATAATTGTTGTAGAGACTTTGGGACTGTTAGGTTCTGATCAGGTAATGGATGAGTAAACCCCCCTGGGTGCCGGTCAGAGCACCAATAATGAAGAGACAGGTGATTAGCTTTCGATGGTGTATTAGTAGAGAAAAGGAAGGGCCACAGAGGTACAAAGATCCGACATCTTAGGGATTGACGGTTGGGCCCTCCAACGTTGACATTCTGGGCAGTCACGTTGAAACCGGCGGACTGCTTCACGGCCTCGGAGAATCCAATAGTATCTCCGGATTTCCCCGAACAACCGTTCCAATCCAGGATGGTGTAACTGGTCATCATAATGGTGAATAATCAAACCAGTGATGGGGTATCAGCGACAGGTCTGCCTCGGGTATACTTTACTTCATACTGCTGTAGGTAAGCTGGAGGACGAGTATGGCGTTTAGGACGAACACCACTAACAATCTCCTCATCAGGATCCATCGTGTCAGAAGGGAATACTCATCCGGCTCGAAGGACCAATTTGTTGTAGAGACTTTGGGACTGTTAGGTTCTGATCAGGTAATGGATGAGTAAACCCCCCTGGGTGCCGGTCAGAGCACCAATAATGAAGAGACAGGTGATTAGCTTTCTATGGTGTATTAGTAGAGAAAAGGAAGGGCCACAGAGGTACAATCAAAGGTGTAGATAGTCTGCAAAATAAGTACAATAAAGAAATGAATAAGCTAAAGATATAGATAAACAATAGTAATATTTACGGTTACATAGTGAAACCAAAGCATTCATAATTCACATAATTGGCATTTCTCTACTGAACATACAGTTAAATGAAGGGAAACAAGGTATTTCACAGAAAACTACAAGTCATGAGTGATCATTTGTCCCTATGAACAAAGTTCCCATATATGGATAGAATCGTGGCGCATCGGAGTAACATTTGCATAAACAGAACGCTAATCACTCGTTCGGTATTGTAGCAGCTTAACAGAACAACATCACGTCATTAAGACATCATAACACTGATTTACATCTTGATAAAGAATGAATAATTACCCGTTAAGTAATATTCCCGATCTGGATGCTACAGAACGATCGTTACAGGACATGTCTGGGCATGTTCATATGGTACAAACTCATATAACACTGTAGCGATCACTGTAAACACAAATATAAATAAAATAGGCTTACTTTGTGGTCAGTGACTACCACCTTGATATTAAATCTGCAAAAATCCCCACGAACAAAGTGAAAGTATCATCCTTGCAGCTGACGGCTCGGACAGATCACTCAAACACAGCAAACAGCGGCAGCTCATCAAACTACACTGCCCTCTGCCGAAGTACTATTACGACTCCAGTTTCATAATAAAGGTCCCTCTTACAGGAGCCTTTAATACAATAATTGACCCTTATTTCATTCCTTTCATTTTCACACCTTTGAAACACAAATCACAATTTTTTTTTATGAAATCTGAGAGATTTTTATCCCTCCATTGAAAGTCCATTCTACCAGAACTTTGATGCTTGAAAAAGTTCACAAAAGCATCATAAAAGTAATCCGTTTATTTATACAAAGTAATCATGTATCTTGAGAAAACATGTATCTTGGATTACACTGCATAATTTATATAGATTATTTTTCAGATGTCTTAATGTACTTTTTGAAGCATCAGAGTTTTGGTGGAATGGGTTTTCAATGGAGGGACAGAAATCTCTCAGGTTTCATTAAAAAACATTTATTTGTTTCAAAGGTGAACATAAGCCTTTTGGATTTGGAATGACATGAGGTTGAGTAATTTATTTTTGGGTGAACTATCCCTTTAAGTTATTTTTTAATGCACATTTAAAAAAAATTCACAAAAACAAAGCACATCAATCAGAAATGCACACCTGCTCCCATTTAATTGAGATTTATTTGAAATACTACTGTATAGATTTTGAAAAAATTAGATTAACAAATTGGCTAATATTTTATTTTTTTTCCTAAAGGTTCCAGTCCTCTTGATGTTAGTAAGTGGGCCTGGATCCTTCCATATTATGATTCATAGCTTGTGCCTGAGTGCTAATGAAATGATTAATTCTAACTTGTAATAGAGTTAATGAATCAATGCTGTAATTAGGAGCTCCACTTAAGCCAGTTCAGCCTCCAAGGTACCTGGAACAGTATCTCCTCCCAGAAGTGTGTCGGCCCGCTCACATTTGCAACCGCTTTGCTTCTCATTAAAAGTAAGACTTTGCTCATAGATCTTTCAATCGGAAGTTTAGTTGCAGTATTGAACGATTATACCTGGGATACCAATTCGGAACCCATAATTCTTTGACATTGTCCTCAGTTACAGATATGACTTTTGGCTGAATTATGGTCCTGTCCCAAATGATGCTCAAAGTCCATTTTTTGAAGACATAATGGACGTTTACTAAGAGTTTTCTGTGACAAATTTGCTAAAACGCCTGGTATTAAAAAAATATATATATAAACAGAATGATTAAAGTTAAAATTGAACTATAAAAACTGATTTATATAAAAATATAAAAAATAAAAATAAATGTTAATTCAAAATATGAAATACTACAAAACTATATAAATATAATACTAAATAACACTGCCTTCTATATTTTAAAATGAGAAACTGGATACTTTACTGTCTCGTTGACTTCACTAACGTGTACATACTGGTAAAAAAATTTATAGCCTGAATGCACTGTAAGTCGCTTTGGATAAAAGCGTCTGCTAAATGCATAAATGTAAATGTGTAAATGAAGCCCACAACACTAGAAGTCCCCATCAAGATTGAAAGTGTAGATGAGGCCTGTTGCTGTTGTATTTTGGGCCAGTCATTATAGCAGAGTGATGCATTTCCTGTTTTGGGGCTAGTGCAGAGAAATGTTATTTAAACACATTTTACATTTAAAACGTCAGTCCACAATGTGTCCTCTTGTCAAACTGCAAATCTTATCACTAGCTATGCTCATGGACTCAGAGTGCAGCTGGTCATTGTGTTTTTCTCCATGTCTTGAATTTTTCTGAGCTGTGAGCTTTCTCGCTTCCACCTCCACATAATTAAGCACATCTAATATGTATCGAAACAGTGGCTCTAAAAAACTGTCAGCTCAAATACATGTGAAAATTTCTATGTGTGCCCTCTCGGCCCTTAATAGTGGTGTTACCTGCAGAGATGCGCAGATTCCGTAGGCTGGAGCTGACACTATGAACTGGCTCTACTTACAGAGAGGGAAAAAGAGACGCCCGCCTGCATCACACATAACGAGACAGCTCCCTGTTAATGAGACACAGATCTGCTTAATGAGCTCTACCATGGAGGCTCACACAGGCTTTTTTTTCCTCTATCCATCTATCTATAACTCCCTACATCTCAATCTGTCTCATGGTTTCTCTCTCCCACGTGTAAGTTTTTTTTTTCTTGCTCGCTCATGATTCCGTGGTATAATGATGACAGAAACTCTTGTGATTTATCTAAGTATACATCATTCTATTACATAAATACTCTCGAAATGCATGTCGTACTTTTTAGAAACCGTGAACCCAGTACTTCTCATCCCACCACCTTTGAAACTAGAAAAACTTGCTTGCTAAAACTTTTTACCCTTATATATACGTGTGTGTGTGTTATATGTATGTGTGTATATGTAATTATATATTTGTTTATAAATGTTTATTTATTTTAGCAAATGTTCATCCTTTATTCAGCATTATTTGTAATCATTAGCAGTGTAAATATTAATTAATTAATTTATTGATTAATTCATTCATTCATTTATTAAGGTATGTATTTATTCAAAAACTGTTTTAAAGGGATACTCCACCCCAAAATGAAAATTTTGTCATTAATCATTTACCCCCATGTCGTTCCAAACCCGTATTGATTTGAACAAAAACAGTGCATCCATGCAGCGCGGCTGACACAGAAGAGCGTACGCTGCCTGCGTTCAGCGGATGTTCTCCAAAATGGCACTACGGTGATGCGGAGAGACACAGAGGTGACGAATTGTTGAATAAAGTCATTATTTTTTTTTCTTCGTGTACAAAAAGTATTCTCGTCGCTTCATAACGTTACGGTTGAAACACTGATGGCAGATGGACTATTCTGACGATGTCTTTCATACTTTTCTGGACCTTGACAGTGTAATTTACTTGGCAGTCAATGGGACAGTCACAAGCCTCCCGGTTTTCATGCCTTTTCTTTCAGTTTTCACTTGCTGAATATAATAATATTAATAATAGTATAATAATTAGTGATATAGGCCAGATTTTGTAGGCCAGAGTAGTTCTCCCAAAAATGAAAATGGTCATAATTTATTTATTCATGTCATTTCATGTCATTTGACTGCCATTCTTTGGTGAATTGAAAAGTGGTGAACAATTACCAAACAATGCTTACTTAAAGTTTGTAGCTATTAAAAATGACCATATGGAAACATTAAGCCTCAGCTAAACTTAATGCTGTGACATTTTCTGATCTCACTCCTTAAATTTTGTCCCTTTGTCACAGCTCTTCTTGCCTTAAGAGGCTCAGCTCATCTTCTGAGGTCAAAGGCTGTGACCTTAATGAGGGACATTGATTATGTGCGCCCACGAGTGGAGGTATTAAGAGATGCTGTGGATGATCGAGTCCATCACTAAATCACGGCAGAGTCTCTGCGCGTTGTGATTAGACGGTGGTCAAGGTTGATCCTCCTACACATTCTCAGCGTACCATGAATATTCATACGCAAGGCCCGTTTCGAGAGCCAAATACACACACTGTTTTCCATTATGCTCTAATTACCTTTAATTACCTAATTACCTAACCTTTTTACCTATTAAAAGGAAAAAAAGAACAAGTGTGTGAGGACTACATTTTTTTATATTATAAAAATATATAATTTTTTATATATATATATTCACGCAAACACACACACACACACACATATAGTAAACATTTAGAATTATATTTTTATTAATAAATATATATTATGTAATAATACTAATACTATTATTATTATTATTATTATTAACATCATTAATTATATACTAGTTGTTAATTATGCGCCCAGTCCACTGCACTATAAAAATATATAAATACATTATTATATTGCATTTATTTATTTTTAATTTAATTACTAAGTGACCTTACAGTAAGGCCCAATCCCAATTCTACCCCTTAGCCCTTCTCCTTTCCCCTACCCCTCCGTTTCGCACGTTCACGTGAAGGGGTAGGGGTGTCTCAATTCTCTTTTGGTTGGAGGGGTAGGGGTAGGGGAAGGGCCAGACAGCCTTCATTTTTTTCTTTTTTCTTTTTATTTTATTTTTTGCACAAGTAAGTATGCAAATTGTATGGTTATTAACTGAGACCCATTTTATTTTGGCCTATACCTCTACCTATAAGTCCTGCTCTCTATCAGTATCAATCGTTGAGAACTAATGTTGGTTGACCTCTACTCATCGACATTACAAACTCTCTGTCTACACCAGCATCCTGGCCATTTTCTGCATCTGTATTTTAAACAGTGTGGAGGACTCTGTTGTTTGCAAGTAAAGATGAAGCTTTTGTGTACGCTTTGATGATCCTTTGTGTTGTGGAAGGAGTGCGGGCCAATAGTTCAGTTGTGGAAGGGAAACCGTTACTTATAAAAATAAGATCGCCCTGTTTTAGTTGTGGTACCTGTAAAGGATGTCCATTATCACACCATATCTTTAATTGGATGGTATCTGGTGGGTTTGAGGTTTAGACAGCACCTGTGTGCTTGTATCTATTACACTATCCTGCTGTTTGATAAATGCCGTGCCAGTGTCCGCAATTAATTTTGGTTTCCTCTTCGCCATTGTCACGGCAACAGGAGGATTTCTCATTAGTCTTGAAGAAGGTTGGTGTAAGTGATAACTTAAAGTGTTTCTCTCCCAACAGGTTTCCTCTCTCGGCTTTACAATCTCAAATTGTTTCTAAAATGAACATTGTTATGCAAACCATATGGCACCCATACTGACTGCTCCTTCCATTGGCTTCTTATAAAACATTACTTAAACTACTGGCAGCTACTGCGGCTTCCTTTCATATGTTAAGTATAAATACATATAAGAGTCGTTAACAATGTTTTCAGTGTTTTAAAACCTCTATACCTACTCCAATGTAGGGTACGTGAGATGAAAACTGGTCTCATTTAAGTTTAAAAAATCTATTTATTTGTATTGACTGTAATTTAATTGAACTAATGTCTTGAGGCATGAATTGAATTTATCAATTGAATTTAATTGAATTTTAGTTTTTTGTTTTGTTTTAGTTGTTTTGTTTTTAGTTTTTGTGTTTTTTTGTTATAGTTTCTTTTTTGTTTTGTTTTATGTTGTGTTGTTTTTTGATTTTGTCACAGAGTTTTGTTTTTACTCTGTGTTAGAGACTTTTGAACATCACTAATCTTCAAGAATAAATATTTTTTCAATATGTTGCATAACAAATCATGATTACAATAATTACAATACTCGTTTATTTACTGTGGGGAAAGATAATTGTGCTGTTTACAGAAAGAAGTTTGCAGAAAAGTTAATTATTTATTTATTTTTTTTAGCTAAATGATCCGGCCCTTGCCAAGTTAATGGATAATGAATAAATTATTTATTTCATAAGTACATAACGTTAAAGTTAAAATGATATTTTGATTTATTTTGAAACCTCTTATACTTCCTTTTGGAGACTTTGCCATGAAAGACTGAACTTGGATTTGTGACAAGATTTGACCTGAACATTTCTGTGAGGAACGATTGCTTTTGCTCTTTTATTTATTTATTTATTTATTTGTATTTTTTAGACTAAATGTTGGTTGTTTGTACAAATTATAAACCTGCATCTCCATCTGCAACACTTGGACTTCCTGTCATGCAGTAGCTCCAGGCCTCTGCAGTGCTGCGGTACTGCTGCTTTTTTTGACTGGCAGCTAGGAGTTTGTTTTATATCTCTGCTGTGCTTTCACAGACAATTAGCCATCCAGATAAAGATCAGGACACACACTTGTTTGACTGTGGCGGTGTTGATATCAACACTAAGTTGTGAAAAGTGTATTTTTGAAGTGTGTGTGTTTGAAAGTGATGTTCATAGTCATTATCAGTGCATAGGTGTATAGGACCCCTGTCCTCTGGATTTCGGTTACTCTCGCTTTGCCTCATAAGGCAGAGACATCCTGAGGCCTCAAAATACCATCCTACCTCACTATACTAATTTATAAACTGCTTTACAAATGAGTACAAACTTGCCTCAAAGAAACTTCAAGTGTACAATAAAACATTAAACTTTGTTACCCACAGGAGATTGCCTTTCTAGGACCTCCTATGGAATGCAACAACAAAATCAAACACTCTGGAATAACCATTTGGTGTATAAACAGTAGCTCAGCATCTAATGTGTGTGTTTTGTCTTTTGTTTAGCGGATGAGTCTGAACTGAGAAGAAAGATCGCTGAAGAGCTGCAGAAAGGCCTGGAGGAAGAGAGGAGAAAGGCACGAGAGGAACTCAACCGATGGTGACTATCCATGCACACATTTACACTGTTCTTACATACATTATACCAACAGTCACCTTTAGATCAGCCCTACCTGTCTGAAATTGGTGTCCTTAGAAATCACACATGTCTCTGTTTGGAGAATTAGCCCACACACAATGCTTAAGTAGTCGGAAAAATCTCAGGCCATGGAGCCAAAAATTGAAGATGAGTGTTTGGGAAATTATTTGAAAATGGTAAAAATTTTTTCCAATTCATTTTTGAGTATAGAATTCAATTAATGTCCAGGTGTTCACATATTGATTATTTATTATTTAAATAAGGCTCATCTTCAGGTTTTGGAAGTATACATTATATAATTCTTGTAGAGTATTGAAAATGGCTGCCATTTAGATATTTTGTTGAAACTAATATCAGACATGAAGTTTGTTTTCTTGAATTTGTAGGTGTAGATTTTGTCTTTATTAAATAAAGCTTAAATGAAAGATAAAAAATAAAATAGAATTATAAATTATAATTATATATTATATATTTATTTTAACACTTTGTGGACAGGTGAAAACCCATAAAAAACCTATCATAGTGATGTAAATTGACATAAATATTAGCTTAAACATATACATAATGTTAAAGATTAAAACAATAAAAAATTTATCTTTTTATTCAAGTAAAACCTTGTATTCTTCCTTTTAGACTGTACCATAAAAGAATAGACTCATCTTGTAACAAAAGAGTGTTTCTGAAAATAAAACAACAACAACAATACATGAAATCAATAACTGAGTCACTTGAATATCTACATTCATCGACATATACAGGTGCATCTCAATAAATTAGAATGTCGTGGAAAAGTTCATTTATTTCAGTAATTCAACTCAAATTGTGAAACTCGTGTATTAAATAAATTCAATGCACACAGACTGAAGTAGTTTAAGTCTTTGGTTCTTTTAATTGTGATGATTTTGGCTCACATTTAACAAAAACCCACCAACTCACTATCTCAACAAATTAGAATACTCCATAAGACCAATAAAAAAAAACATTTTTAATGAATTGTTGGCCTTCTGGAAAGTATGTTAATTTACTGTACATGTACTCAATACTTGGTAAGGGGCTCCTTTTGCTTTAATTACTGCCCCAATTCGGCGTGGCATGGAGGTGATCAGTTTGTGGCACTACTGAGGTGGTATGGAAGCCCAGGTTTCTTTGACAGTGGCCTTCAGCTCATCTGCAAACTTTTCCACGACATTCTAATTTATTGAGATGCACCTTTATATATACATACATCGCAGCATTTTACCTCCGATGGCTTAACAACATGAGGTATTTTTGTGTGGAACCATTTGCCAAGGCTTGGCAAGTTTATGAGCTACATGTTTATGAGGTACAAACTCTTGTTTAATTCAGTACAAGACAGAGAAGCTGTGTGCCTTAATGAGATTTTTGTCTCATCAACAGTCAAACTGGGACACAGACCTGTCTGTGCTTTGTCTTGATTCATTTTCCTCCTTTCCTGAGCACATCACTCTCCCTTTTTTCCTATTTCTTTTTTTTTGTGTGAAAGCAATTAATCATGTATGAAAGCGAGGGAGTGGGAGTCAGGGGGGAGTTTATTTCTTCATATGTGATGATCTATTGGCTTCCACCGGTGAGGGCTTAGTCTTTCCATTTTTGTCCTGTTCTCTGTCTGCAAGTAGGTGGCTGTACCGTGACGTTCATTTGGCCTTTAATATCTCTGCACCATGTACGTCATCATTTTCCAAACCTTTTAGTTGAACCACCACACTTTACTCGTATAAAGTGCAAGTTCCTTAAGTACTCGCTCCATTTTATTCATCTAAGGCTTGTGATGGATGTGCCAGTGTTGGGTCGCGCGTCCTTGTCACCCCGGGTACCTCTTATACTGTTATTCCCAACAATGCCAACACTCTGACCTGCAGAAATTGCTATTGACAGGAAGTTTATTTTCTGTCGGCTATAAAAGTAAATTTAATGGCAGGGTGTGTTGTTTTACAGCATTGCTGTTGCGGCAACTGAGGCAAAGTGCTCCATCCCATCACCCCGGCAACGCCATTAAGGGAAAGTAGGGGCTTTATTGACCATGATGTCATGCTTGGAAAAACAGAATCAATATTGTCCTTAATGTTGTCTTCCATTTAGTTTTCTCCAACTCCCATTTCTTCTTTCATTCCTTTTTCTGTCTCTCCTAGAATGTGTTGTGTTTTAAACATGCCCTTACGAGATTGCAGGATTGAAGTGAATGATATTAGCCTCTGGCTTTGGGTTTGAAGACCTTATAGTGGCAATCTCCAACCTCACCTTCAGGTGGACCATTGTTTGAAAGTTTTTTCATTGTTTTATTTCTCTCTTTCCCAATTCAATCAGATGAACAGTTAGTTAACTAATCTGCTGTCCTCTACTTTTGTTTAGTTTTTTTGTTTTTGCATTGTTTTGTTTTGCTTTCTTTCTTTTTTTTTGTTGCTGTTTTGTTATGTTTTGCTTTGCGTTGTTTTTTTGTTTTGTTTTTAGTTTTAAATGTTTTTAATTTTGTGTTTTGTTTACTATTTTATATAATTGTTTTTGTTTTATTTTGTTTCATTGTTTATTTACATTTTTTGTTTTAATTTTTTATTTATTTTAATTTTCTTAATTTTTAATTTTTTGTTTTAAATATTTATTTACTGTAGTATTATCTTATTACATTTTTTTAATTTACATGGCAGGTGGGCTGTGTTTCCACATTTACCATGAAAGCTAAATCAATGTATGATGCTCAAATGCCATTTAAAGGAACATAAATTCAGAGATTAATCCGCTGGTAGATTTATCAGACCCTGCCAACTTAATTTAGCAGTGACCTTTAATCTAGCTGGCTTCAGGGCGGTGGGCAGTTCATTGAAGATACATTTAATGTGTGATTAATTATATGTAAAGCACACATTCCTCTTCACTTCTTTCACATGTCTTTCTGCTTTATTTCTTTATAGTGTGTGTCGGTCTAGCTTTGGATAGGGTAGGGTCTAATGCCCACCATTAATCTTGCAATACCACAGTGCTGGCCTTACAAGATAGTAAGCTATTTCTGATGACCCTTATACACATGCTTACACACCTCAGTATAATCAGTATCCACCTACTTAAACTTACTTCTTAAAATATAACTGATGGAAGAGCACATTCACCAGACAGTATCTGTTGTATATTGTTAAGTGTGCTTCATGATATTAAATGTATTTTGTTGTGTGGGACCATTTGTTTTTGTTTGAGAGTGTGAATATATGCTAAACATAAGAGGTTAAGGATCAGAAAACTACATATTTTCAAAAATGTTTAGTGGGCGGGTTGCCTGAACAACTGCTGCTGCTGGAGTGCAGTGGAGTGAAAAAGAACACAGGGGTCTCGAGTTGTGTTTTTAAAAGTTAAACTATTTCTTAAGTTTTAATGTCTTAAAAAATGCAATGCTTAGGGTGCAGGATGCTTAGAAAAACAGTGCGAGTCGTGACTCAACAGCCAAATGCATCTGTCTCTGTGTGTATAGCTGTAGCAGCAGTGCTTTAAAGGGAATGAATGTAGAGATTAAACTTCTCTGAGAGGGTTTTTTCTGTATTCACCTTTCTAAATTGAAAATGAATAAATCTAGATAAAATCTAGATTGACTTCACTTTGAACTATTCGTTCAAAAGTGCATGTTTACGTGTGTTTAGAAAAACTGCAGAATTTGGTCTGTGTGTGTGTTTCTCCTGCAGAGGCCTGTGTGTATGAGCTCCTTTGCGGGCCTTTCTAATGAGAGATTTGCGGCAGGCACTGGAGCAGAACCGTTCTGCAGATCAAAAGCACAGACTGGGCTTGGCTGACCTGCGCAATGCTGCATCAGCAGAAAGACCTCAGCTCTCATCCACACAGAGACTCGCTGGGGATAACACACAGTCCTCGGGGACACAGACAGAGAGAAGGGGCATCTTAGGGCACAAACTCATTCTCACCACCCCTGAGCTCACCTTAAACAACAGCCTCTGCTCATTACTTCTTTATTTATTTATTTAGTCAGTTAGCCATTTATCTATTTTATTGATTGATTTGTTTAGCCATTTATCTATTTTATTGATTTATTTAGCGATTTATTTTAGACATATATGTATTTATTTATTTAGACATTTAGTTACTATTTATATATTTAGCCATCAATTAATTTATTTGGATATTTATTTAGAAATGTATTTATGTAGCCATTTATTTATTTTATTGATTGATTTATTTAGCCATTTATTTATTTTATTGATTTATTTATTTAGCCATTTATTTATGTATTTATTTATTTAGACATTTATTAATTTAGATATTTTTGTGTTTTAATATTTTTTAGCTATTTATATATTTGGCTATGAATTAATTAATTTGGATATTTATTTAGCTTTTTATTTATTTAACTATTTATTTATTTAGCTACATTATTTATTTATTTAGCTGTTTAGCTAATTATTTAGTTAATTAACTGGGGAGTGGAACATTTTTATTTATTTGTTTGTTTGCATATTTTTATTTTTATTTTTTTTCACTGAAATCAGTCTGTTGTAATTATGGACTTTTTATATACCGCAGTTAAATGCATAGTTAAGTTACTCAATCTCATGTTTTCAAACCTGATTTTTTTTTTGAATGTTCTGGCTTCTATTTTTATATATAATGAAAGTGAACGAAGGCTGAAATTGTCAAGCTTCATAAAGGACACGAAAGCAACATAAAAGTATCACAAAAATAGTCCATCTTAATTCCAGTGAGCTGCTATCTGTTGAAGGGTGAACTTTAGAACCTGATCAGTTCGATTTGTGAGCAAATCAATCCAACTGATCTCATTCTTGGAGAGAGCTGACTTAAAAGACTGATTCATTAACACATCAGATCTCATAAACACACTAGAGGGAAGCAAGGGCAAATGTCAAGATTATAAGTGAACATTTTATTAGTGAATTTCTGTCTGTTCCTCATGTAAAGCTATTGTAATGACTTGATACGACCTGAAA